CCCCCCCTATTCTTCGAATAGGCGAGCTAATAAAACGGATAAATTTTAAAGGAATTTGATCATATTTGCCAAATTGCACTCAAATAGAACAGTCGTAATCTCAATTGTTGCATACTATTTTCAACTAAAGACTTCTCTCGATTAGCACGTGCGATAGAATGCAGAAAAGAATAATCGTACGAGGCAAATGTTTATGAATTTCTGCCGTAGTAGAAAAAATCAATGTACGAATGTACCTACGTATAAGGAATCATTTTATTCGAAAATCGATGAAATATTTCATTTATTTTCCCCACCATTCTATCATTCCGGCGGTATATTCCGCCCTTACACACCAAGGCAGTTCTTTATGTCTGCATTGCACTATACGGAATTCGTAAAAGCAAGCAAGCATGCAAACAAACAAGGGTTTCATTTATCTTTTTTTTTAGTGAAAAAAATATGAACGTCACTCCTAGATAAATACAGAGGCATGCTCCTTTTCCAAACTTTCACTCAGCACACCAGAATTGTTTGTCAATTCTTGCCCTATAAATTTGGCATTTCTTCATGCCATCTAGGTTTGTAGGTCGTATACACAATAAAGTCTCTTCATTGACTGATACAAAACGACTAAATATCGTATGCTATGTCTATTTATTTCCCCCCCCCTAAAGTTAAATGCATTGCCATATTTTTATTTCATAACAATGATTTATGTTTATGCAGTTTCTGAAAAGCAGTTCTTATACTAGGTTAACTATTTATCTAGTGAATTGATTGTCTCGCTCCTTGCCAGGTTTCCCTGAAAATGAGAACATTCTAATACACTACGAACACAAAAATCCCCTTTTAAACGTAGAACATGAATGGTACCAATCTTCCAATGAGGTAAAATATGTAAAATCAATTAGATACACAAACATCTCGGTTACCTTTTCAATTCATAACACACTTGGAACGATCGTATTGAATGCTTTATATCGAATTGGAAAATATTGTAAGGGCCAAGAAACAAGAGGCCCAATGGGCCTGCATCGCTCACCTGGTATAAAACTCACACTTGTAACCTTAAAAGTTATCTAAAATAAAGCTACAGGCAAAATATCAGTATTTATGATTAAAATTCATTCAAAAGACCCTGTTATTCTTTTT